GCGTCCTCTAGTATAAAAACGGCCAATCTATGAATCAAAAACACGGCATGAAGACTCCAAAACATACATATTAATTAAATTTCGAAGCTTCTGGCGAATCTTATTTGACTAGTTTAAGGATAAATTGCTATTTTTTTTACGAAATAATGCTTAGGATTTGATGGCATATAGTTCAGACGTGCTCGCGCCTTAGGCTATTTTCCTGAAAGATGACAAACAACGCTGTTTACGAAATTGAAGAAGTGACACGCCGCTGGTTTGATCAGTTGTTTATCTTTGAATAAATTCTTACTTTACCGCTAACGACCATCCACCCTACTGCCGTTAAAATGCCGCGTATGAAAGCCTTTCTAATTTGCGGTTTGTTCGGTGAGCAGGAGTGACTAAATGACTCTTAGTTCTGTCTAATGAGAATGTCGCAGCAAATGTTGTTACACTATTAAATACATAGTTCATCAAGTGGACCTCGTCGGGCAAAGGAAGGAGAGGAGGGCCTTTCACTTTCTATCATAAAAGTTAGAGGTTGTTTAAATCTAGAGAGAAAGATCAAAGCTGTCAGCCGACTCCCCACCAACCCTCCCCCCAAAAAGAAAATAGAGCTCAAAGGGCCAATGGGGAAACATATGTAACTGTGAATATGAAAGTGATCTTCGCAGTAATGAACATCACTTGAGCGGTAGAGAAAATAAGGCCAATACAAGCAGTATTTTTTAGAGTGTGGCCTTGAAACTTGTTTTTAAAAGTGACCATGGATAATTTTTCCTCTCTTTGTTAGCGAAATTCTTCGTTGAATCTAATTAGCTTACAGGAGAATGTGATGTCTGGTGACGCTTGTTTAACATTCGTTCTCGTTTGTTTAATTACAAGTTTAGGCCAAGAATTTCAGTTCATGCACCTGAAAAGTTTGATGCAAGAGCCATGTGAGTGCAGGCCTCGCGACTTTTTCCTGACCGGTTGATGTTACCGTTCGGCTCTATACTCATCAGCTTTTAATATGGTTTTCCAGAGGATTGCGCGAGCGGAGCCGTACGGGGTCATAGCTTAAAATTCGCCGTTTTCAGACCTCAGCATTTTGAAACTGCAGAATGAAATTACCGCCCCTCAAGCGGGCTGACTTGTGGGATCAACGGTAGACATTATTATATTTTCAACATAGAGTTTGCAGACTGAGCCAGGGTAGTACATTACTGATTATCTTGCCTTTCTACCGTGACATGTAATCTAAACCTACGAACAAAAATTTTTGTCGTTTGTTTAGTCTTCACAGGCTGAAGGGAGATGTTTCCCAGATTTCCTCCGTTACATCATACGGTGTTCATCGCGGCCTGCTGGGTTGGTATGTCTGTGCTTGTGATCCTGTGGCATTTTGAACTCACAGGTAATGAGGTATTAGGAAAATCACCACATTGGTTACTAAGGTGAATTTCTTACACGAGTCCAAGTGTTTGCCTGGTTTATGATTGATAAGCTATTGAATCTCAAGGGTTTCGCTGTCTGAGGTAGATTAAGGTTCAGATAGGGCAACTGAGAATATCCAGAATAACCACTTTAAAATTTAAGAGTGTGATTTTACTCTGTAATGGATAAAAGTAGGTGAAACTCAAATTTTTGCGGTATAGTCTCCTTATTACGAAGGTCCTTAGCTTTGATGTCACGTCCGTCCCTTCATTCTACAATAAACCGGCATGGAAAGAATAAAAGACTCGCACTAATGTCTGCATAAAACTGTACTCGTTTTATACAATTGTCCATACGTATCTGCGACAAAACCATCAGAAATATGCGATTGACACCTGAAAACCTCGAATTATTTAAAATTTGCTCCCAGTCTAATATGCTGGTTCATATAACTAAGAATTTGAATTATGACATAAAAATTAGGACATAAAAATTGCACCATAAGGCATGGCAAGTCACCTAATGCGATGTTTTGGATCAGAGATTCTCTTTTGAAATTTTCTTTCAGGTAAAACTGGCAGTGACAGAAGTGACACATATCTACGCTCCATCCAGAAAAGGGCCTTAGAACACACATCTCAGGAGCAAAACAATGTCAACAACGATGGATCAATGAAGTTGACAGGTAAACCAAATAAGACAATAAGTACTAATTGACATAGAAAATCCATTAGTTTACAAACAGAAACTCATCGATTGGCGCTGCTGAGCATATCGAGGGCTTCTAACGAAGTCTGTTAGTGTCAACCCGGCCTGCCTTTCCCTCCGGAGGCCGGTAGAGGCGGTCATTTCTCGTCCCAGACCCCTGGTTGCGGGAGAAGCCCACGAGATTCTTGTGAGGCAGTGCTCGCGGGCTCGCGGGCTTAAGACACAATTACACTTGGGAGTTTTGTTTAGGGTCATATACCATCCCTCAATAAAGGCTGATAAAGGAAAAGTTACTGATGTGAAATTCCCTTCACCCTTTACTATGTTTTATTTCAACTTTTTTACTCAAACAGATTCCTTCGAAATTTGTTCTTGACTGTTGCATTGTTCAAATGAATTGCCTTGTCATTTCTTTTGCAAGTGGACTTCATAGAGTCATTAAGGTTATATTGAAAATGTAAGATAGCACTAAGGTAGACGGATAATCTTTTCGTTAACCCAGAGGTTTTTTTTATCTCACCTTGTAAACTGGTCCACAGTTCTATTTATCCAGTTCCAGGCGTTTACTTTCTTTTTCCGCTCTGTCTGACAACTGAGCGGCTAGAACAGGTTAGGTTTTTGGGTGACTTCTCAATGTTTGAAATGATTCTGTCTTTACATCTCTTACAGAGGAAGTAACAAGCAAAAACGAAATGTATGATCGAGTGAACACGCTGTTGCTATTTGTTGGTTACTCTCGCAGTAGACACAGCTTAGTTTCTTCATTACTTGACGCTCACCCTCACATGATAGTTGCAGATGAATCGTATGCACTGAGAAAATGGGTTCAGCAACCAGCATGGAAAACGGAAAAATCAAGATATGAATTCTTCGATACAATGTTGGGAAACTCAGCGCGGTCTGTAAAAAGAGGTCGAAGGTCTCGCGTAGCAAACGGAAGCGCAGTAAATTTTCAACTCTACGGCTACCGTATTCCAGATCAGTGGCAGGGAACATATGATCGATACATACAGGTGAAATATAAAACTTAAAATATCAATTTCACGGGCTGTAAATCGATGTAAATGTTGAACAGCTCAATCAAATTATATTCCAACAAATCTTCTCGAATCATAACCATTTTGGTCATGTTCCAGGTATAAACCTTGGGGCTTTAGCGATCATATCTGAAAAGATATTGAAGGCTGAAATAATTTGTCATTCAAAATGCCTCATTTGCAAAGTACGTTTGAATCGTTTTTCATAAATCCTGTAAGCATTTTCTTTAACTAGGAAATCACAATTAAGAATGTGCAAGGGTTCAGTCTAACCGTCGCCTCACACTAATGACCAGTCCGTTATCTTACTTTGTTTTGTAAATGAACTGCAGGTGATTGGAGACAAGACAGCTTGGGACACTGCAGTAATGCTTCGTCTGCTTGGAACACGAGCCATTTTTGAAATGAAAGAGAAACTTGGAGTGAACATCAAGTTCATTCATGTTGTCAGAAACCCATTTGATAACATAGCCACATTTGTTCTTCGACACAAGGACATCCAGGCCAGGACCGCTGACCCAAATGTCAAGGTACGCATATGCAAATCACGTGTCGAGGGTCAACAATGAATTGAAGGCGTCGCCAATCGCTTTGTTTCGGCCCATTGATTATTACAGAAAACAGTCTGATTTTTTACGTGTTTGTGAATTACTGGCATTTTTTAAGCACCATCTTAATTAACTGCAGCTCAATTAAATAGGAGACATTTCAAAGAGATGAAACAATTAAGTAAACACTAATACAAAATCTACCATTTACATCTATTAAGAGGTGCATCTCAATTCCAAACAGATCAATGCCAGTGAAATTTTAGACGAAAAGATACAACTTTACAACAACTGGACAGAAGGAACCTTTGTGGCCCACAAATCCTTTCCGGAGGACTTCCTCAGTGTTGTTAGTATGGATGTCGTAAAAAGGCCAGCGGAATCGCTCAGGAAAATGTGCCATTTCCTTCAAGTAACTTGTTCAGAAAGCTACATTCAGGACTGCGCAGCGATAGTGGACCCAGTCCCCTCAATTACCCGACACCGCATTATGTGGACGGAGAAGCAGATTAACAGAGTTTACGCCATAATGAGGGCGTTCCCGGTATTGTTTGAGGGATTTACGTTCGAAGACGTATGAGATACGTCTTAGAAATAATAGACATATAGATAATAAATCTTTCTGGGACAGACCAGTGCAGTTAAAACTTTGCTTTTTGTGAGTATTACAAATCCTTTCAATTCCTTCTCTTTCAGTTACTCAGCTCTCGAATGTAAGCTAAAGCAGAAGACACTTAATAGAACTAAAGCAGAAAAAGTTGTTAATAAGGTAAAAATAGAATTTGGACAAAAGATCAGGAAGTTCTCTCAGATGACCAGGGCCCTGACGATAGCAAAGTCTAACAAATTATTTGTCTCCCTTTATTAACAGTTAGGAAATAGTGTGATAACTTGTAAGTGAAATTCCTGCAAGTGAAGAAAATCATGCAACTACACTGGTTGGCGGCAAGTGATCGATGCCGGGCAGTACACATGTTTATTATTGCAACCAAAAATAGTTAACACTGAATTTGTCGAGACACTGATAAGAAATTCAAATCCACAAATCTTTTCTGATATATCATAAATCATTAAAGTTGTCGCAGGTAACGGCAATAATCATTACCTTGTAAACTTGACAGGCCTTTTACAAAGTAAAACGCTTTTCCCACCTTTTTGTGTCGAAGCACAGCTCCTTTGATTGTCGGTCATTGTGATAGAAGTAAGTAAGCGTGATCATCTTCAAAAAGACAAACGTAAATGCCGGACGGTACATTTGTCGCACAACTGAAATGCTACAAGAAGTCGTGAGGTCATCGTTCATTTGTTATCAGTGCCGATGTTTTATTTGAAGTGTTTCTGCATCGCTTGCTCTCGAGCGCCGTTTGAATCGCTTGATCTTAAAGAGAAATTTCAGTGCCGTCTGAAAATCTCGCCTAAAAAGTGTATACAAAACAGGGTTTGTAACAGAAGTAGCATATCTAACTAAAACAAACACGTGAGCTGGGATTTCCAATTCCTTAACATCGTTCACTATTCTGTATAACAACATCACGATGTACCATGGCAACCAACAAAGGAGAAAGATTGTGGCCATAGTAACAACAAGAACCAAGCACTTTTTGTCGAGGGCGGCTTGTCGAAGACGATCATAGATTGTCGGTCTCCAAAGCAACGAAGGTGTTTCCCGACGGTTTTCTCTGATTGGAAATTGCTTTAAAGATAAAGATAAAAGCGTAAATCATGAATGCATACGGCAACGAGGCAAAAAATGACATGTCCCTACTTCTATCGCGCTTGTATTTTCAAATCGTCAATGCGTAGCAATGCAAAAGGACTAAAGGCCACAATGATAGACAACGCCCAAACTACTTTGAGCACTTTGCAAACTGACTTTTTTGGTCATTAATCGATGTGTTACTGGCCAGATGATCGACAGATACTTCTCTGTTGTGGCGATCAGTATATGATAACAAGATGATATGGCGGTCAAATTGTTCAGTACACTTACCAGGATGGCCATGTAATATCGAACCTCAAACGACTTAATAACTGGTGTGAGCGATTCAATTATAAAGAGGGGAATATTGATGATCCCTGTCATGAAGTCACAAACTGCCAGGCTGAAAAGGACATAGTTTGATGCTGTTCGGAGCTTGGTATTCTTTTTAAATAAAACCAGCACCAAGCCATTTGCAATGGTGACCAGGAGCGCAACAGGAACAAGCTCTGCTACGGCTTCAATGTTGACGCTGTTATGGTTGAGCAAGGACGGCCTTTGTACAGTGGCGTTTGTGTAGATTGAAACCTCCATTGTTGGTACTTCTGTCGATTGTTAAGTTCTTCTGTAAAGTTAATAAGCAGTTAAAATTTCAATTAACAACTTCTAAATGACGTTGGGTGAATTGTCAAGGGAAAGCAGTAACCGCGTCTAACACTTGTGATTATTCTTTATTATTCTGAAAGCTCAAGATAGAAAAGTAAGAAGGTTGCGTAAAAACTATTCACAACATTGTCTGATTATATCAACTGGTACTTGAATTAGCCCGCTTAACTATGCTTGATAAGCATGTTAAACCATCAGCCCGATTAACCATGCTCTTTAAGTATGTCTAATCATAATGTCGGTCACCTAAGGCTTTGACGTTCGAACTCCACATGTGGTAATTTACCCCATCAACAAACTAGTGTTTTATTGAAAGTGGTTTGTACATATTTCAACCTTCTGGCGGCCTCAGTTTAATTGCAATCCTTCATCTATTTTTAAACAGTAACTTAAAGTTTCTTTCAAGCATAAGATTCTGATAAATCGATTGCAGATATAGGCCCACAATAACGGTAAGTGCCATTCTTTATTCTCACGTCCTGGAGCTCAAATAATGACTTGTTCAATTTATTACAAGAGAGAAAGTAACGTCATCAGTGAAACATTTGAAAACTCTTTAATGTGATTGTACCAATAAGCATATTTTTATTCTATTTCTCTGGCCACTAAAATACATGAAAATCATCCACAAAAAAGATATGCTCAGGAAAATATTTTCAATTGTCGATGAAACAGTACAAGACAGGTGATATTATTGGCAGCCCAGGATATAAATCAATTGTTTTTAAATTAACATATGCTTTATCTCTAATATTTTCGTTTTCACTTTTCAAATTTCAACCCTCCTAGAAACTCACTAATTTTTACTGGTTTTTTTCGTCTTGATAATCAGATTACATGAAAGCGACAGACACAGCTGCTGATCCTGTTCAGATAATGGTCAAAATCTTTGTAAACTAAATTTTGACATGGTGTTAGTGATGACATAAAACTCACATTGAAAGGGTGTAAGAGAAGGCTAGCAGAGGACTGATGAAACGGATCTCATATTCATGTAACAACATTTGCAGTGCAACTTTAAACCTATCAAGGACACCTTTAACTTAAATAACTAAGACTGCTTGTTAAAATTAGAGACCCCATAGCTGTAGAACACAAACAAAGGTTGTCTTTGAAGACAATTGATGTGTGAAGAGTTAATGTGTAAAAAAATCGACTGAAAAGAGATTGATATAAGACATCAGCGTTACAGATTCTTTCCAGTCTTCTCAGAGAGGACGCGATGAAATATAAAAATGTCGGCTCAGTATCCCTTGCTTCAACATAATCGACTAAGATCGCCCTGGATCTTGATTTTGGAGGATAAAAGCTTACGTTATAAAGAAAGAATATTCCTGAAGCAATATCAGTAAATATATCATGAGACCCTACGTGATCATCCTGTTTACCAGAAATATTCTTGCAATGAATGTTTTCAATGAAAAAAATTTCGCTGTGGTCTACTGTACGCTTTCATCAAATGTTTTTACCGCTCAACTAGGTATCTTTGAATAACAAATGTATGATAATTCCTCAGCGTATCCAATAAACTTCCACGAAAACGACTCCGTTAACTAATCTCGCATGTCTTTGGAGACCGCCTCCACAGAAGAAATAAACGAGCGACAAGTGATTTAGGATAGGTCTTAAGTCAAAAATGACACAAAAGATTCTAAGTATTCGCATTTCTATTGACTACAAACACAGGCTTCTTTTATCTATAATGGCACCTTGGTTTGAAATGAATATTAATTTTAAAAAAACTTGTGTCATGGTTTAAGAGTTCGCGAAGGTGGCCTCATTTGTTCAACCAAATTTATATTAAGATCCAACCCCCTCAGGCTGAAAAAAAGACGAAATAAAATGAAAATTAGTAGATAAGAAATATTTTGTACTGAAAATCAATTTACTCACTGGGAAATATTCGCTAGCTCATTAGCTGATCTCTGATAAAAAAGGAGTCGGTATCCCCTTCCTCCAGTTGGATAGACAAAGTGATTGTTTTTACCCAAAAAACATCTGGATTATCAGTGCGAAAGCGATAACTATTGTCAAATCTACCTGCTAAAGAGCGAGTGAAAATAAGACTCAAAACAACTTAAATCATGATCAATTCAGCACTTCACGGACCAAAACGAAATAAAGTCGTTCTCTGCTCTTGTTTAGATAACTGTGATCAGGAGTTTACAACTTTGTGTTAAATTCTGCACTCAAGGCATATACGCGAAGCTAATAATGTAAGTTTTATGTGCGATGAGCTAGTGCTATTTTCAGCTTCCTATACTGTTTATGTGCGTCTCCAGCCGAGCTTAACTGCGAGCCCGCGGTCATTGAGCTGCGCAGCTAATGGCATAATTCTGACCGAACACCAGGTCTTAGAACTTCGGTCTGAGCCATTTCTCCGAGACACACGCTTTGGGAAAGAGATTCCTCGTGTAAGATTAACTAGAATAACTCTAAAGAATTACTAAAAAAATGTTGGCCTAGCGAACTTTTTCTCGAGTTGTGTCGTGATATACCATAGTTTTTTAGTGCAATGGCATATTCGTATATTTCCTATAAATCATTAGAAAGCGACACAGCCCCTTGGTTTATTAACTCGTTGGAGCTGAATTATTCATAATAGAATTGTCTATATTTAGTAAAATAAGATGTCTGGCGTGTTTATTTCAGGTTCTGAGCAAACGAAGACGTTTTTCATTACTTTCGTCATATTTATTTATGTTTTTTGTCATTTAATGCTGTATTAAGCTTGAAAGATATATGTTAAGGTGAAACATGTGCTATGTCAAAACTAATTTCATACGTAACATATCTCTACCATAACAGTATTGGCAAAGTTGTAGCCATGGATGTCTGAAAGGATATAAATCATTGGGCAACGAAAATAAACAATGTTTTGAACTACAAAAGATAATTATAAGGCCTAGGGGCAATCAATGCACCTTTAGAAGTCAAGGTAAAATTCAAAATAAAAGTTATGGTAAGACATTTTGCGGTGCATTTTGGCTCTTTCATCGCTGACACTAATCAAGAACTTCTCCATGCCAGAGGTAAGATATATCTTTAAATTTCCCTTAATTTCCAACAAGGAAAAGGAGGAAAATGTTTTTTCATCATAGACTAAAATTAAACGAAAGTGCACACAATAAACAACTCATGAATTTAATTTTTAGATGCAAAGAAGGCGGCGATCAATTTGACTCAGCATATATATTTTACTTAGGGATGACATTAGTAACAGGTTCGAAATGCTTACGTTTTTTTCAAAACTTTCAGTTTCAGTTTGAAAAAAAAAAGTGATGAATTGAAAAAAAAAAAAAAAACCAAAGTCATAAATGGACTCACCTTCTCTCACTTGGCGGTGTATTTTGTCTCCAAAAAGCAGCCTTTCAGTCGATAATTGTGGGACTCTAGAGTCTCTTCCAATGACTTGTTAGTGACTAGTTAGTAGCACGATAGGAAATGGTGCTTAATAACGTTCAGAACGCTAGCATGCTAACACTATTACCCTGTATTGTCGTTCGAACCATTTACACAGAATGGCGATTACTGGAAAGTTATTTCAAGCCAGACTTGTTTTAAAGACTGACCTAGAAGCTTCTTTGGATTTGTAACCTTTACCTTGCATCTGCCTCGAAAAAAAGCTTTAATAAAACCCGACAAAAGATTCACTGTTTAGTAACATCAAAGACGGTCTAAAGTCGCTTACAAAGCGCGCCATAAAAAACCTAGACCGACCCTTCAACAGCTGCTATCACGTATTGGTAACCGACAAGTACAAGGCACTATGGCAACGGAATAGCCAATCGACAACACCGAAACACCAATAAATATACAGCTCTTTGACCTTCATTTTTTTACTGCCTATTTATGTAAAGGATATCAAAATACTTTTTCTTTCTACTTTTTTCTTTTTTCTGAGAGAGTCGAGGTTCAGAACAATATCGTAATTATTTGTATCCTCAAACAGAGTCGGATTGTGCATGGTTGTTGTGATCATACTCCTTTTTATGAAGTTTATTTCACGACTATAATATTTAAAAACAATTTGAAGACAAACATTTGATTCCGAGAGCAAGACAAGAAAACAACAGTAAATTGACCCAGAGATGAACAAACAAGCAAATGGATAAAAAATGAAGAAATAGATAAAAAATAAATTAATAAATCAATGGATCAAAATTTTGGAATGGGAGTTTATCTCTCGATAGCGCAGATTCGTGGTTGTTACCTTTCCAGAAGTTTCCTTTGTCTTTCGGGAACAGTTATCAACACGAAGTTAATGTTTTCAATGAAATATTGATAAAGATTGGGGTCTAGCACCTTGACACAATGCTTTATTGGTGGTCAAACTGAAAAGACGCCGGATTCGTTTTTAGAATGGATTACTTCATTTCACCCAACTTTAAAGTAAACTTTCTACATTGACAAAACAAAGGTTGCACAAAATTTTCGCTTCCCTGATTTGACTTGGTAACGGGAACTGAATTTATCTCATCTATGGTTCATAAAGTTCCGTGTTACTTCGACGACGAACGAAATAGAATCATCTTCTCAACAAGTAATTTACGTATAATAGGAAAATTAGCATTTGAAACGCAACTAAAAATTTGATTGTATGATGCAAAGAATATTTGGCGCCGCTAAAATTGATGTAAAACACCGAAGTACTTTCTGTTCTTTTCGGTTACTTCAAATGTCTTTGTTTTCATGTTGAGAATTACCAACTGCGTAAAAAGAGAACCCCTTTGTTCGTTCTGTGTATGGTAGATTAATTGAATCAATCAGCTAGCCGACAATTCATGACTGGTGTTTTGAAATTAAATGAATAAGGAAAAAGACAAAGTCATACTGAAAGATCTAGATCGACTGAACTTCCAGTGTGTTTGTGTTTTTATCATTGAAGTCTCAGAATAAATAATATTCGACAAATTTCAGCGAAACTAACAACTGATTTACGAGTTGATAGCACTTTTTTTTCTAGATCCAAGCTAATTAAATGGAAAAAAAATCATGTCTTTAAGGCCTAGTTAAGCCTGTGACGTCGAACTTGATAATTCCATTATATTCCTGTCATCCCCAAAACACGTCCTTGAAGAAAGTTTTCTGGAATAATATGATAATACCACATAATTACTTCTCGCGGTCGGCAACTTTGTTCCTATGAGACGACTGATATTAACACTATTGTCTTTCTGCTGTCCTAGTCGTTTTAAAAATCTTCAAACCGGTGAATTCTACATTAAAAGGATGAAATGAAGGGGAACACTCTGGAACAAGGATATTCGCTGCCAATGGTTATTTTTTCATAAATTTCATATAGCAACAGAGACTCTACATACGGCTGAAGACGTTAATAGGAAACCAGTTCCATTCAAAACAGTTTTCAAGAACAGTCTTCTTTAGAAGGTAAAGTAATTGGTAAAAAAATTCATTTTTCGAGATCTAGTCATATCCGCCAATGGTCATAAAACACGAAATGTGTTTTTTAGATCTATTGCAAAAATTGACATTTATCTTTTTAACCGAAAAACGCAAAGTTTCGTAGCATATTTCTGGCACTTTTCTCAAGGAAATGAAAACAGCTTATGAAATGGATGAGCGCGCATTTAAAAGGTCACATTCAATTTTCTGTTTCTCTCAATACCTGCAATTTTAGCTCAAAAATCTTGACGATAAACTGTGTTATTACAGAAATTAAAATTTCCAGAGTATAACATATCGCAGTTTGCTGTGTCCTTGTATCCCACAAAAATTTACTTTATCCAAAATTTATATCGATATAAATGAAAACACGAAGATCTTGTTTATCATCTGCTCCGATCATAAACATAACCAGGTTACAACGAAACTCACTGACCAGAAACATTTATTTAATGTTTAACAGCATGTGCCATTGTTACACTTATTGTTACATTTACACAAGAGTTTTGCGTTGAATGAACGGACTTCTTTCTCCTTGATTTGCACAATTTTCGTGAATTCAAATTCTGCGAAAATTAAAGGTGCGGTGGGGGTCACTCCTTATTTTCCATTTCCTTTTGTTCGCTTCGTTTCCGTAATTGTTTGTTATTCTTGTCTCTCCATAAAAACTAAACATCATTATTTTAGCTAAAATTATGGCCTAAGCAAAACAAAATGTTTTCTGTCAGCCTTGTTTTGTCGCTATGTGATGTACAGTCGATTTTTTCTCTCAATTTAAAGTAATACAATGGTTCTTAGAATAAAGTTGGTTCAATTGATACATTAAAAATGTTGTCCCGAACGGTCCAACAATTGGGAGATTTCATTTTAAACTGTGGCAAACACGAAAATGTGAATCTGTGCAAATTGGTTCTTTAACATCCAGTAACTCTTTTTCGGCGACCAGTTTATAAATGATCACAATATTGCCAAGCAAATTTGCGACGAAGGTACAAAACCGTACATCAAAGCTAATATCAACCTTATGGCCTTAAGAAGGGTGCGGCATCCTTGCAATTAAACCTTTTCCTTTTCTTTTACTGAATGTCTTCGGGTGTGTCGGTGAAAAGCTTAAGGAAGAGCAAGTGTTAGAGCCCGGATGAATGATCTTTAGAAAGATTTTCAAGTACGGATTTCTAAACGGTAAGATGAAAGATTTTTTTTCCGAATTAAGATTCCTAGCAACACCGGCATTACTCTACTAATGACTGAGTATTAAGACCTCTACGGTTGGTTAATCAGTTTGTAGATGGCCTGTGTAACCTGTATCTGGTGGTTTTGTGGTCACTTTTGGTGACGGAGCCGTGAAAACGTGCGGATGGGTCAACTGTTAAAAGGAGAAGAAAAAATGAAAAACATTTTTATGCTTTCTTTCATATAAAACGTCGAAAAACCTTCAACGGTACAGTTGGTTAATATATGTAAAGGAGAAACTTATTAGTTCACAGAAAGGAATTAGCTGAGACTTAACCGATCACCATGAGATAGGCTTTCCTCACAGCTGAGTCACCTGGCTGTCGGCGCTAGGGACATCAAGCAGTCTGAACGGCAACGCTAAGGAAGACGTGGATTAAAAATTGAATTTGTATTTTAAGTAAGAAAAACTCAAGATTCGTTTTTTCTTTTATACATGAATTTAAAAACTGTTCAGCTGCTCTCAGTTAGGAGAATTTTTATCGAGTCTTTCACTGATCCATCTTCCTATTAAAATTAAAGGTTCTTTCGTTTCCATCACAGACAGTGGTTGGTTGATCCCCTAATTCCCAAAACGTTTAAAAAAACAACCACAACGAGAAAATCAATGAAGAAAAAAACGGAAAAAGCAAAGATTTGCACATCAGTCTCCTTGTAAAGACTGTTAGAATCTGAACATTTTTTTCACGAACTGTTGAGTCCATTCAGAATAATTAGCTTAGGCATGTCCGTCCATGTACAAAAGAATATTCTTTCTTGCTCGCTTCCTATTATTATTTGAATAATTTTACAGTGACATGTACAACATCTAAGTTGAACAATGCAGATTCAAATTTTGCTTTTTCTTTGACAACGCTATTGAAATAATAATAAGGACGGCAACGAGGAAGACTTCGATTAAAAAATTAATTTAAATCACCAATTACAATTTCGAGAGTGGCTGGAAGTGTGTATCGTTTCTTACGACGACACAACTTCAGCATAACGCACACGAGCAGCGTTAAATTACAAATGTGAACTAAATAATTTGCCTTCTGGTGTTAACGTTCTCATCCCACGCACATATTAAGGATTTGACGTTGTTGTTATTTAGAGGACGACCAAGAAATATAACACATATGTTGAGCTATTTTTCTCTCTTCTAAATCTGTTTTTTTTTGGCTACGTCGTCGTTGCCCCTCTCCTAATACGTGTGAATATGCAAACGGCCTAAAAATTTAACCGTCAACCGTCAGAAAACAACTCAATATTATTCGTCACATGGTTAAACTCCTCCCAATCCTATGTTTCCAGCTGCTTGCCACGAGCAGTTCTAGATCTTGAAGAATCTTTAGACGAGCAATCCAGGCTACCGCTTTCACTAATTTTCGCCTAAACTGACGGTTTGAAAATATCAATGCTTTAATTTATACTTTAATACCTAAAAAAAACTTATGACGTTGGCAACTTGCTTCTGACCGTCCAACCAAATCAAAACTTTGACTTAAGTTATAACGAGCGTCCTGAAATAATCGTAAAAGCGGAAGGAAAAACTTTTGAGCGATACAAGAAACGAGTTTCTCTCGGGGAAAAGCAAAGGCAAATTGGAAGTGTTCGCCAACACATAATTGATTTCCGCGACTTCGCTTTAAACTTTGGGCTCGGTTCATTTGAGCTCCAGTTGTACCGGTTGATAAACTACTAAAAGGGAAACTTAAGTTTAGTATACAGTCTAACAACCAAATAACAACTTGAGTTGAAGCTACCACAACTGTTGTTCTGAGAGGGAGAGAGCGAGTTAAACGGTAAGACGGGTTCTGAAATATTAACCTCTTGCAATATGTCATTGAATTATATCTATTCATCTATAGAACTAAGATATCCCAGTATGAGTAGTGAAATCATGAGGAAATAATCAATGTAATTATGTATTTCCGTAACCGTATTATCTCTCAAAGTCATATGCATTTTTAGCGAGGATGTGCGAAGCTAGCTCTTATAATCACTTTCGGAAAATACCCTCCGGCCATAATTTTGTTTGCACCCTGAGCATACTATGCTAAGTGCTAGAAGAATCAGCTCTTCAGAGTTCTGTGTATCTTGTTCACACTTATAATATCGGATATAAGGTATTATTTTGAACTAACGATTAATTTTAATACTGTTGGAGGTCTTAAAAGTTTGTTTCAATTCACTTCGGTGGAGAAAGACTGAATAGGTCTGAATACGATCTATAATTTATGTTAAAAGATAAAGAAACTCAGTGTTGGCTTAAATTCATAAAAGAAACACTTTCTTCAAAAACTGTCAACTGTCGAGGGCCCTAAAAGTTAGCCGTCTACCGTCGAAATAGGAAAAAAATGCGATTTCGTTGAACAGCCAGTTACAGTATCCTAATAGCATATCATTTGATGCCTTTTCTCTTTTCAAATTCCCTATCAGGCCATGATTTGTAATCTAAATCACTGTGATAATTGCATTCCTCTTATCCAGGTATTATGTTCCGATTTGCCCTAAAACAGCGGTGTTCGAAGGCTTTTGACTACATTGTGGTGCTTATCAGTTTAAGTCCGCAAAAGCTTTTAAATACAAGTTTATGTGCTGATAAGATGGAAATAGCAATTATCGTTTGTTTGGCTGAGAATTTCTAAATCTTATGTTAATCATTTGTGTCATTTGTAAGACTGGCAGTCGGGTGTGAGAGACTCGGTTAGGTATGTAGTAATGTTGAACAGCTCAATCAAATTATATTCCAACAAATCTTCTCGAATCAATATTAATAGAATTGTTTTACTTGTTTACATAGGCGTTGATAAACACTTACCTGCTTCCGTCCGTTACCAGAAATGATACGTGATGTTAAGTTTGACAAAACGAGAAACGAAAGAGGGCTTCCAAAGGAGAAAACACTGTGTAAGGGCTAAAATTGTGACAAGAATTGATCACTGAAGTAGAATTTCTTTAAGCTGATAATTTGAAAAAGCGCGATTTTTAAAACTTATGCGCACACGTGGGTTATTGAGCTCTTCCCTGAATGGCTCGTCCAACTGCACGGATTTTGAGCACGCACGATTTTTCTTATTAGCACCATTCATTAGAGGCACATTTTGTTACGGTAGACGCAAACGGCAAATTAACATCTGGGTTCTCTCATTTTTCTTCCAAGACAAAACACAGAAGGGCCTCGCAATGAGTACAAAAGTTTTGCAAAAAATTCATAAACTGATAGGGAAGTAACGAAACTTCAATTTTTGTCGTAGTCGTTCGTCGTGGTTTATTGAGCTCTTCCCTGAATGGCTCGTCTAACTGCACGGGTCTTTAGCGCGTACGATTTTTCTAATTAGCACCATTCATTACAGGCACATTTTGTTATGGTAAACGCAAACGGCTAATTAACATCTGGGTTTTCTTCGTTTCAATGAGTACACTGTTGGGTTTTTTGCAAAAAAAGCATTAACTTAAAGGGAAGTAACAAAACTTCAATTTTGCCGTAGTTGTTCTCGTTTAAAAAAAAAAAAAAAAAAAGGTCCCGAATGCCTCTATCAAAATAGTAAAATATAATGTGAAGTAAAGCATAGTAATTTTTTACACGGGTTTTAACGGCAGAAATGATAGGAAAATAGTCAACGAAACTTGTAAGAAAACTTAACTCTGCTGTCCACCTGGCCTCGGTTGTTCGAAGGCTGGGTCTTGCTATCCACTAAATAAATCTCCATCTAACGGTTAAGTGTTTACAAAACAAACCACGCTATTTTAAGCGCTTTATTTGCACGAGACTTTTGGTCTTTCTATTAGCGCAAGATTCACATCTGTGAGTGTTTTCTTAGCCTGGAAGGTTATCTCTAGATTAACCGTTAGTGCACCAGATTGTTTGTTGTACGAGGTCATATGTATGACAACCATTCTATCAAGGAACCAGCCAACGTCCACATTCTCCAAGATTGATATTATAACGAACCGGGCGATAATTTTAAATTTCGGTTAAAAGAAGGGCCGCTTATTGGAAGGAGGAAACTTAATCGAGGGGGAGGGGGGGGCATTTATTATCATCACCCAGTACTGATTCCACTGTAGTTAAAGCTTAAAAATTTATAGATAAAAAGGCAAAAGGGACAGGTCTTCCTTACATCCCTACCATCTAAGACCATCTAAGACCATCTAAGATAGTGAGGGAGAAGGGGATGCTTATTTAAGAGGGGCGCTTGTTTGACATTATGTTTAAATCCAATCGAATCGAAGAATTGTTACAGGCAAAGTACACACAAGACTGCACAGTCACGCAAAGTTCACTGAGTCAATCGCATATTGGGAACCTTTGAGGCTTTGACGATCTCACAACGTTGTGTAGGTTCACCTGCTTGCATGTGTCGTAACCGCCACGGAATATTTTCTCTCCAGTTTGCTGGCCATAGATCTATCATTTCGATCACGCTCGGTTAGGGTTAATTAAAAAGTTTAGTGAATTTGAATCATAATTTTTTTTTTTTTTTTTTTGGGGGGGCGGGAAGGGAATTGTGTCTCGCTTACTTTAAAAAAGAGTGTGAGAAATTATATTTCACTTCGTGGTTTTTGAAAGCCGCCTTTCTCAACAGCCCTAGTTTAAAATTCAGTTGCCTGGCTCGCGACATAGATTTTTATTTTTCCAGCGCGGTTTTCACAACTGCTTGTAGTTAAAGAATCTATTACAGGGGACGTTTGGATCTAAGCCTTCTCTTTTTCAAGGGGGGACTTTTGTATGGCGCAGTGAAGGGAAAATTGGCAGTAGGGATGCTAGTATACTAGAATATTAATACCAAGCGCGCTCTTCGTGTAATTGTTTATAACATAAGGTCTTTCATAACTGTAAACATTTTATTTGCCCCTCACATTTGTTGGTAACAGTAGTAAGATTTTTAGAAAAAAATAACAAACAAATGAAAAGAAAACAGTGAAGTTAGGGAACTTAAACCTTTAACATTTCATAGAAAAAAGAGCACAGAATACCTATGGGGAGAAACTTAAATAGTGCCACCTACTTTTCTCCATTGCCTTTCATTTTTTTGATCGATAAAATTTATTAAAAATGGATGGCTGTAAGAAAAAGTACACGACATCAAAAAGATCACACTGAAATGGCTATTGATCACAAAATTTGGTTTGTGTTCCTTCGAATGATTGTAGTAAGAAAACACATCGAGGTTTTTCCTATTCAACGGCAGGTTAATTAGATATTGGATTTTGCATCCAAACTGGGATAGGTTAAATTTATTCATTTTTTATGTGCCACGGTTTGCTTACTTGGAAAGGCAATTCTAACTATAGCTTAGCAGATGTTTTTTGTCGCAATTAACATCCCTAATGACTTTTAATTTGACGTTGGCAAAAAGGTGGAAAAACGAGAGTGGAAAATAGGGTGGAAAAAGCGTGAGTGATGAAAGATCTAGACTGAGATGTGATAACGTAAGAGACTAAAATAGTTTGAAATACTTGTCTTTAATCTCATATAAAAACACCGAGTTGGCTTGTCTGAAAAGTGTGTGAACCTTCATATTGAACGGTTATTTAATAAAATGAAATGCAAATTCTGCCGCCCTACATTTGAGTTAATGGATTGATATTGAGGTGCTTCAAACAATTCAAAAATATCTGAAAATCAACCAAACAGAAATAAAAATTTAGCGACAGATTCAACGCATGATCAGTAAAATAGAGTTTTAATGTCAACAACTTTTATCAGGTCAGTCAAAATCCCGCCCGCCCACCCCCCCCCCCAAAACAGAACTTACAGAGCCAATGGATCCCATGGAGATAAAGAGGAGATAAACAGTCACTTGATATAAAACACAGTACATAGACAACATAGTGGTTGAAGTAAACTGACCTGCTGAAGAGCTTTCATTAGATACAATCTAGCAAACATTGTAGGAAAGAGATGCTGTCTTGGCTCCTGTTGCGTTTAAAAGAAAACAAAATAGATTATAAAGCACGACTGTTGCAACCAACTAAACTGCTTTAATTATTTCAAAATCTGCGATACACCATATGCAAAGTGAGAATCCTGACAGTGTGCATTGTAAAAAGAAAAGGAATAATACTGCAATTAAAATACGAGCCTATCTAGTTGTTACGTTTTGCTCGACTAGCAGATTTTATACTAGCACGCATCATTTAAAAAACTTAATTACGCAACTTGTTTGATTAGTTCTTAGTTATGATCTACAGGAGGACAGACGCATGGATGACGTCATCATTGACAATTTTTCGCGCCTTTTTTTCTTACATAAAACAAGAAGCACACAGCAACATGGAATCTATTTGTGAAATAGGGAACGTGAGTCAACAATCTAAATGTTCAATTGCAAGTGGTAAGTTTGGTTTTCCCTTGTAAGCCAATATTTGCTGTGTGCGTCAAGTCCGTGTGCGCGTGTGTGCTCAGAAAGATGGGAAATAAAAATACACTTGGCACCTTTAACTAATAACTGCATTTTTCTTTTTGGCTAAAAATCACTTACTCCAAGTATGTGAACTCGGCCGTAATAAGAACTGAACTTGTGGCTTAAATTGTAAAGGAAACAGCAGATCTGAAAAAAATTCAAAAGCAAATTAAAGCAGCAAAAATCAAATAGTGATTTACGGGGGTAAGTTTCTAAAGAAATTGTGGTGCTGCGTCGGTGGGAAAGTATAACAGGGTAATTTAGAGTTATCAAACGGTGGCCAAATTACATTATCAACTCAGTTGATAGTACTAAATTACCCTGTTAAAAATCAAATAGTGGTCTATTTGCATTCTGGCGAATATGAAAATTGTTCAGTAAGGGTTAAGAAAAATTGCAAAGACCATGCACTTTAAGTACTTCCTGAATAATTATACCAGTCAGTTTAATTCCTTACAATTCAGCAGGATCATCATTTTACTATTTAGTGCGACGTCTTGTAAGTTTGTGAAATAGTAAGACAATTAAACTGCTGCTCAGTCTCAAGGAATATCACCTGTTCGTTCAAGCAATCAGCATTTAACAGGGACGCACATTCGTATCAGGTGAGGATGTCTAAACATGTCGTCCTAATTAGCCCAAACCAAAAAAGTAAGATTTTCTCACTTAACACCACACAATCTCTTACTTAAGGTTTCTGAAAAAGACGCAATGAAAGTAAAAGAAGAAACAGTTTCTGTAATAATCACTAATTGTTCCACAGATACTGCAGCCCTTGCCCTCGTATGGCTGAGATGTTTAATGAATAAAGACTGAGATCACAGTGTGTTAATGAGTGTGGGTATAAATAATCCTATGATTGCATGCACTCAGCTTTTTATTATTGACCAAAGGTATCAAAATTAACAATTACAGTATTAACACCTCCTCTACTGAAATGTACACTTTACTGACCTTATTTGAGTGAATAATGACATTTTGAGATTTTGATGTACACATTTTCAGTCCAGAGACAGCACCCTTAATCACAGATGGAAAAGCTACTATAAAATGTAAAGTCAACTCCCATTCAGCCTGTTTAAGAAAACAAAGAATTCTCTGGCTCAGATACATAATGAATCAATACAACCACAGAGTATATTTATATCTGAAAGACAATTAATTTGTAATTTCCTGTTCCTTGAAGCACAAAAAACAACTGAAATTAATAGGACTTAGTTCCGTTGATTAAAACATGATATACCTGCAGTTTTAAACGATGGTTTACAGAATTAAACATTCGTTATTGATGATGTAAATTTTTTAATTCAACTTCAAGGTTCAATTTATTTGGTTAACTTTAGGACAATTTGCAAACCTGTCCCAGTAGCATAAAACTTAATAACCTTACACTAAGGTGAAAAATGAGGAAGGAAAAGTGGGACTGACTCAAACAAAATCAAGGTAAACTTCCATAGACAGATCAAGTTACATTGACTGGTAAATATGTGTTGTTACTTTTTGCAACATCCAAGGTTTCCTAATCCCTACCTCTGAAACTCATAGCTCCTTAATTTATTGGTAGAAAGACACTGTGCTTTCAGACATGTGCAGTCCCAAAAATTCAAAGGATCTCTAACTGATATTCTTCATACAAGCCATTGCAGTTTCTGTCAGAAGTCACTTACATGATCACGTAGTAGGCTAAAATCCACCTCACTGATGGGAGGTAGTGCTGGATAAACACCTGGCTTAGTTGGTAACAAATTCACCTTTTGACCCATTGAGTGATCATTGTTCACAAGAACAGAGATCACTCAAGGGGGCAATTGAGAAACAGTTGAGGGTTTGCATAACTTTCAAGAATTCTTCCAACCCCTGAGTATTTAGATGAGGCTATGAAAAAGTCCTCTATTGCTTTTATAAATAAATATTTCTAAAAAATAATTTAACAGATGAAAGCATGACATCACAACTATTAATTTTTCATTTAACTCTCACTGAAACATTTATCATTTCTAACAAGTAAAAACATTTGTTCTCACCTTTCTGGACATTCTCCTCAAAGTTTGCAAATAATTTAGCAAGCCTGGCACAGTTGTATAAAACAAAGGTGGCTTGCCTGAATTCTCTTGAGGTTTCACTTATGTCAATTTTTATCTGCCAATAGTAACACATATTTTACTACTAATTTACTACTTTTCTTTTTTCCAAAGTTACCACCACTACAAGAATCAGATTATTACACCATGTGAAACATGATAATAATATCCAATGTGTGTGTGTGTGTGTGTGTGTGTGTGTGTGTGTGTAACAAAGAAAAATAATTTGAATCCTCAGATTTCTAACTCTGAAGTACATTAGTAGTAGAACTGGATGTTCTACAATTGATGTACAGAGTAAACAAACAATGCAAGTTAATAAGAACCTAGATGAGCCCACTTGTCTGTGGCATAACTGTAGCTTATTAATAAGTTCTTTGTACCACAGTGGTAGCTAGAACATCTAAACTAAATAAAATCTGTGGCTCAAATGCTCATGTGGTACTTAGATTTTTCTCTGTTGCACACTCATGACAAGTGTTTAACACCTTTGTTTGTCTGCCTTAAAGTAAGGCTCCAGAATAAAAAACATTTTGATGTTTATATTTTTTGCCAAAATCTCAAAATTTGCAACATGTGTTTGGCAGTCAACTGGCCAACCTATGTTGAAATCCTAACTATATCCTCAAAGAACAGCCTTGTAATACTCACTTCACTGTTTGGAGCAGAAGAAAGAGTTTCTAATTTGATTGCAGCCACCGCCATTTCCCTAATTGATGTGTCCCAGCCATGACCTTGTGAATGAATAACAACACCATCACTATACTACTCCATCAGTGACTTTTCTTAATCTGAGATTGTATCAACTAAAACTACAAGTTTATTTTTGACTTCAGGCTCATACCTACAACTTTATTGCCATACTTCAGTACATAAGAAGCTCGAAGTTGTTTTTCACGAATTCTAATAAAAAAGACATAATTACTATTAAAAATAAATTACTGAAAATAGCAGCAAGAGCATAAGAGTATACCTCTCAGAAAAACATTGTGTTTGTTATATAAACAAAAGTCAACATTTTGTCTCAACCCACCTTAGTAACTCCAAGACATCAAGATGATCGTGAAGTCTTTGCTCATCTTTGTACAATGAAACAAGCCCATGTGAAAGGAAAAACTATACAGACAAGCAGCAAGTTAAAATTACAAGAAACATCAGCATACTGATTAGTTGCAAGATAATCTGTATGACATTTCAGCTGAATTGATGGGATCAGAACTGCCCAAAAGTATGTGTTGAATTTTTATGCCATAATTTCACATTGAAGTTTTTTTTATAATTCTCATCCTCAGTATACTCTGCCTACAAATTAACAATTGCAGAGCGTTTTCATGGAAATTTCTATCCTAAACTCCATATAGTATATGTTTTTTAAGGAAGAAAGTGTGTAACACTAAAACTTCTGTGATTGTATAGTCTGATTGTTACCCCCATGTTTAAACCATTTATAATGATATTCCTGCTTAATTCACTTCCTTCACTTCCTTCTCCCAAATCCAATTGTTGGCATCACCTTATACACCAATCCCTTACTAGGACAGGTATTTAAGATATGTTATTGCATTTCACCTGGACTTACTACTGGTGAACCACACCCTTGAGTTGTACACCACATTCAACTTTGTGTACCTGTTTCTTCATGGCCAGATTTGTTGATGTCATTTGCCAAACTGTGCTAGTTTGCTGTTGACTAAATGCTTGTTTACAGCTTGTTAAGTGAACCACCATATCTAAATTTCCAGTCTGCATCAATGAAAAAAAAAAAGCAAGGGAAAATCTTCAATAACACATCACATTGTTAATATATGTGTGTTATCTATCTAACACAGTAAGGGGTTGGTCTTTTTTCCAACTTACATTTTTTTCAACTAAATCCAACTTTGCCACATCAAGAAGAATTGAACTTGTTGGTGAAACTGAAAAGAAAAATAACAAGAACAATCTAAAGAAATATTTCAGCTTTTAAAATAATCTTGCTCTTGGTAGCAAATGATACTTCAGTAACAACTTACAGTTCTTATCTCTTTGCTTTATTCATAATAGTCACTGCACTACAATAAACAGATTTCCAATCCATCTGACAGCCAACTTGGTATTTATGAAACATTTTCCCTTCTTTACTACTTTAATTTAAGTGATTATTCTGTGAACAGAACAGTCACATTATCCAAGTCTGGAGCTTATTTGTTTTCTCTCTATCCTTGTCACCTGATATTTGGATCACTTCTAACAGACTCACACAATAACATAAAATAACTGTCTGATCTTATGAAGTTGTTTGTCAATCTTGTGAACTTTGTTACTTATAAAGAGATGCATACCTGATAATTTATTTAGGGTCACTGTAACATTCCAGATGACAAATTTGAAAATGAAACAAAAAATATTATCAGAACCAAATGAAGACATGATGGTACTAATAATATTATTACTGGAGACAGAAATAAGTTATCTATTGAGCAGAGTAATAAAGAAATCTTTTAGCAGACAATCAGATAATTACTCATATCTCTGCTTAGTTTAAGTCATGACCTGAATGTATTTTGGTACAGTATAACACAACACAATGACCCAGGAGGAGTTCACACCCAGACTTCTAGATCTAAAGTCTACTGGCCAACCACTTGGCAACCACATCACTTTCTTCTCCAACAAATTTGCCATAAAATCTTAAATTACTTTTTTTCCTGTAGGACTAGCTTGATTAAGATCATGAGAAAATCATAAAATCATTTAAAGGTTTTGAGTTTTAAGGGTTTAAAGACATCAAGAATAATGTTATATTTAATACAAATCAATGTGAAATAGCATAAAGTTCAGGATAATGGAAAGGTAAAAAATTGTTTTTAATTTAATACAACGTCATGGACATCTGTGTATGTTTTGATTACAAGTCACACAAGAGCTATTTGAGATACTTACCTGAATACAGCTCATTATCTTGGCAAAAATTGGGCAAATCCAAAATAACCTCATCACAATTTAAATCAGAGTCTTGGCAAGTACATTTACTCTCACAAAGAGAACTAAGCTCAGCCTCAATGTCTGCTAGGAAAAAGTTTAAAGTTACTCAAATATGATACATGTATATCCCAATATGCTAGGACATACTACCTCTCAGAGAGTTTCAAAATTTTACAGGAAGCATGCCCCAAGACCCCCCTTCCTCCCCATCCTAAAGGGTTGTGCTGGCTTACTACATACCATGCTTGTCTTGCAAGTGCGATTCAATTTAGCCAGCCACTCATTTTGATCATACATCCATTACTTTTCTAATGACAACCCAGGTATATTATTTAAGCATTTGAAACTGCCATAAACTGTACATACCCATTTGCATTTAAAAGTTCCTTAATGTGTTCAAAAATGAGAATTGTTCTCAGTTGATCCAGATTTAAATGACCTTCATCCTCCACATGAACCGAAAGAGAGGGATTCAATAAAACACACTGATGTGTCTGCTTGCTTGACTGTCCATATTGATCTGTTTCTTTGATGATATTGTTAAACACAGCACTTGTTACATCTGCCTTGTTGAGACTCAACAGAAGATTTCCCCCACTTGTCACACAACACTGTCTGACAAACTGAACTTTAGACACATGGTCACTTATCTCCTGACAGAGACTTTGAAATTCAACCTAAAATGTCAAACACAAAACAAAATATTATTAAAAGATTCCTCTCTTTCAATTCTCTATCATTAACCAGGACTAATAAATAGTAATTGCCAAAATATGTTTTCTAACATACCATATTCTGTTTATGTACACATTTCTCAAAATTATGAAAAGTCACCTCACTAAGTTGTAAGAGAGTGATTTGATATCTTTATTTGATAACTTAAAAGCTAAAAAAGAGTTGTCCTAAATGTATTTCAGTCATAATGCAGGAGGCTGAAAGAGAGAGTTATTTGATGAACAGGAAACCAGTTGATTTCTGTCATTAACCATACAAGGCAGTTTGGGCTTCCTATATCTAAAAAAAAATTATAAGGAACAGGCTTGATGATCAAATGGTGATAAAAATTGTGAATTTGCTGGTGTTTTTTATGTCAACTACTGTTTTCTGGCTACTTTAAATCACAACAAGATATTCAAGTAAAATTACCAAAACACATAAAAGGCTAGCATTACAACCCATATTTAGAGGGCTATGGTTACTTTGCTTGAAACAAATCATGTACATTTTATTGTTTTTGACAACTAACAGATTTCCACCTTTGACCGTGCTATTTATCAACCTTTACGGTTGAAAGACTGTAGACAACAATGTACTTGAAAAGAGTAGGAGGCAGCCTACCTCCCCACCTTACCCCTGTCACCTTGGTAACTGGTCAAGTTGCCTGTAAATCATCTCACCAGAAGTCATGTGTCTTCCAGAACCTGAGTCATGTTGCACAAATTTTTTGTCATATTGCCCAGAATAAAAAGTCAAGTTGCCCAAAAGAAAAGCCAGTCGGCCTAAGAAACAAATCCTTAAAAGATCAGACTGGGCGATTGACCGTTAATCATCACCTCCCTACCCAACACCCCTCCCCTCCCCTCCCCCCCCCCCACTCCCTCCCCCGATAATGGTAATGGTAACTTTATTCATACGCGATAAATCCTTCAGCAAATAAATAACCCAGATGTCAATGCAAGCATTTTCCCATTGGGAAAACTTCTTGTAGCACTTGTATGGAAAATTTCAAGCTATCTCTAAGCAATGTTAAGCCCTTCTCTAAACGTGAGTTACAAAAGAAGGCAAATTTCACCACCTTGCCAGCGCGAAGATAACTCCGTACAAAAGCTGGAATGATTAAATCTCCATTTTCCAATTTCTTGTTGAACTTCAGAGAACACGAATCTAGATTCGTTTGATCCATACTAACAACAGTAGACAAAGCTTCATAGACCAAACGTTTTAGGTACGACAATAAATCACAACATTCGGTTGCTCTGTTAGCGAAGGTCCCCTCCAGCTCGTGAGCCTCGTTCGCCGATTCGTCCGCCATGTTGTTAGTCAAGCTTCGCTATTGTACCTCTCCTGTTTAAATGGATGAAAGAGACTGGAAGCTAGTTAGGGACACTACGCGCTCCCTCGGAATTTTATTCGCCAAATATACGTTAAACTAGTAATAACCACAGGTTAGGAAGTGCGTGCGAGGGCTATGCATGATTTGTTTCACTGAGGTTAACGATTTCATTGTAAAACAGTGGCGTTGTGTTCTTTTTCCATTTTGGGCATTTATATTTGCAGCGCAATAAAGGGTTGCATAGTGTGGGTGATTGTTTTCCCATAAACGAGACAAAGGGACCTAAGAGTGGTTTTACTGACCTTGTGAAACAGTAACACCAGTTCTATTTTGTGTTGGGTTTGACAAAATGGTTGTTTTTTCACGTTGTAAATAAAAACACTGTTGATTATAAAATGGACATATTGATTGAGTCAAGGAAGATTTCGATACCCGACAACAACAGACACGAACAGGAAACGTTCCGATCACAAGTTCACACGCTCGATTTTGATTGGACGGCGCGCCAGCTATGCATGAGCTGCACGTGATTCTTCGACGAAATAGACGTCGTCCACGTGATAAAATTGTGTTGTGTGCATTCCAATTTATGGACCGCCACTTCTGCATGAACTGCACGTGATTCTTGACATTCTTAGCTTCAAGAAGGCGAAATTTACATATTATTTGAGCCCTTCAACTACATTAAAGATCATTGACTATGGAACGTGAAACAGCTATGCTTTGGTGAGAATTGTCTTCTGCTTGGTGTTGGTTTCTAGCGGTCAGAGCGCCTGTGCTCAAATTACTGCTGCTTCGTGTTTGTCTCGCGTGGTCAAAGCGCCTATGCTCAAATTACGTCCTTTCATTTCATTGGTTCTTAGTGTCCCTAGGGACAAATATTTGGAAGGGCGACTTTTTTTTGCTAAATTCGAGTCACTGCAAGGCTATATAACTGCCGCGCATGTGTTTGTAACCAATGTTGAGATTAGGATTGCGGGCTCCGCTGGTCGCCCGCAATAAGAAAATAATACCACACTGGACATTTTTCATTCATTCTCAAAACCTGTACGATCATATACCACGCCAATTTTTTTCGCGTTAATGTCTGCGGTAACTTATGTTCAAAACCAAGCAACATAAAGGCTTCACACATCCATTCAACTAACAAGCTTAGCAACCCGAGTCTTAAGGAAAAAATGTACTGACAATCACGTGATATTATATCCAAAGAGTTTTACTTACAAGGTTGATAATTGGTGCTCTACATCCTCCAATTATCCTCTAATTACCATGATGTAAATACTCTTTATCATCTTGAATCGGTCGTTAAATCAACTTTCAAGAAGGTTCTTATCAAGACCTGAAACTACAAAGTAAGCAGATGAAAAAATTGAAAACATCAACAACCAACTGCATTGAAAAAAAATTATTTCATCTATGATTAGCTTCTCAAGTTGCCAGGTTCTCGTCCATGAATAAATGAATGAACATAGATTAGCATTATTTAACTCTTTCATTACTTGTCGATCATATCAGTTGAATCAAAGGTGAATCGTTCTTAGCGCTACAACCCTTAACACACGAAATCGGTCCAACTTTTTTAGTTTCCGGGAAAAGGTAAGATACTCAGGTCAGTTATTAAATTATTCACCAATCACATGTCTGTAGAGAAAGTGATTGTGTCTTTTCATATCAGATTAGTAATGAACACTTTGATTGAATGTGTTGTTAGTCTTTGCTTTCGTGGCAAAACTGGCAAACGATATCTTTCATTTGATGAATATCATTACATTAACCGACCCGTAGTTTTGTTGGGGAGTACAAGGTTAATATGCACATATGTGACCTCTCACGCGAAAACGTTCCTTACGGTTTGCCGTTTTGAAGTGTACGTATATTCAGTTCTTACTCCAACTTGTTTTCCGGAGTTTTTCATGGTCGAGCGGCGCGCACACAAATTCTTTTCCTGGGAGTGGACAAGATCATTCAAAACTAAATCCGGCAATCCATTGTTTGTCATTTTCCACCCATGACTGCTAACAAACCGCAGACTTCCAAACAATTAACGTCCAAACGACATGCAATGGCCGTTTTTATACTAGAGACGCATTATCCGTCTGGACGAACTTGGGCAAACATTTGTAGTTCGTCCGGTTATGCGTCTCTCGTGTAAAGACGGGCACAAGACGCATTATACGTCTAGACGAACTTTCATTTGAAATGCGTCTTGAACGACGCACTTCGAAAGGTAGTTCGTCTGGACGCATAATGCGTCTTTGTGTGTAAAGACGGGCAACGGACGAATAACGTTAAGAAATGAGACCGTGTCGGAAAAAAGCCAGCGGTTATCCGCCCAAGAAAACAACATGGCGGAGTCAAGTGCAAAAGAGCGAAGTCGATCATGGACAGAAACAGAGCTCAAGTACTTCGCCCTTGTTCTGGCAGACGAAAAAAACGAGTTTGCTTACAAACTGGACACGCTTGCGTTGAAGAAGACTGCAAACAAATCTGTCTTCGAGGATATAAAGAAAGCCTTTGAGGAGCGCATATCCTCCGAAGAATTTTAAGAAGAAAATGACAGAGAACATCGTCAGTCTAAATCGAAAAAGGCTTTAACTCATCTGAGAATTGATGTTGAAAAGCTTCGAGTGAAATTTAAGTGGATAAAAGATCAATGGCGTAAATACACGGATCGCATCAAGAAAGGTAGTGGTAAGTCACCAATTGAAGAGCCTGAGTGGTACAAAAGAATTGCGGTGATTTCGCCAACGAGTGATTTCGCCAACGTCACGTTCGCCAACGTCTTTGGTCGCTTCGCCAACGCGATGAGTCGCTTCGCCAACGTCCTACTGGTCACTTCGCCAACGCCAAATATCTAGTAATAACTTAGTAATAACTTAGTAAAAAGGGTGCTTGCTGATGCTTCGGATGTAATGCTGATACTTGGGTCAGAACATTTTTAAGTTAATGCTAGTTTCGCTTGGCTGACTTCCAAACAATTTGCATATTTTTGACAGATCCAGAAAAAGCCGGCGCGTGAGCACTAACATCGCGGTAATTTAAAACTGTTGAATAACAAACTCCGATGGCTTCCAAATGTGTTCCAAAAATGTATAACTCAAAATTTTACTTGAAAAATGCGTTACGATGTGAATTAACGAGTTACCATTTTTCAGAAGCAATCAGAGTTTGTTTTCTAGCCTTCAAAACGAGTCAGAAATACAATATAACAAGTATAATATCAAAAAAATTTTAATTACAATACGTATTTTTATAAATATTTACAAGTGCAAAATATTTTAGTGGAAAACCTATTTACAAAACCTTCTGATTCACAAAATATTTTCAATGCAAAACTTATTTACAAAAGCTTCTGATTCAAAAAATGTTTTAGTCAAAACCTATTTACAAAACCTTCTGATTCACAAAATATTTTCAATGCAAAACTTATTTACAAAACCTTCTGATTCAAAAAAATGCTTTAGTCAAAACCTATTTACAAAACCTTCTGATTCTCAGCTTACTTCACGCTAGTTCAGTTCGTTCATGATCAGTTAGAGCGCGCTGGTCCATCCAAACGCGAGAACGTCCTGAGTAGCTGAGCAGCGGTTTTCTCGTTGTTCTCATACTTCTCCCAACTTGCGAATAGTTTTGCCTGAATATTTTTTGTTGTACGTCGTTGGATTCGTTTCAGTTTGTTGTCAGAGACCAGCCTGATTGTAATAGCTGTGAGTTTTGCCTCCCGATCAAGTAACTCAATTAAAAGGTATAAGGGCAAACCGCATTGTCCTCCAGCTCTGCGATTGAGGGCGTTATGCCAGCCTTCCAGGTCATTATTTGTGCGGACACGCAATACACACCTTTCTCCAGACGGCCTGTGTCCAGTGAAAGACACATCCCTGAATTTTCACAGTGGGGAGCACTTCTCTGATGGCCGACCAAATTGCCTTCTCAAAGTCGACGGTGACCTGCCTGACTGTGAGCTGGGGCATTAGGTGGACTAGATTCTGGAGCACCTGGAAATAAAAGAACAACCCAGTAAGTCATTTTTCTTACAATCATTCTGAAATTCAGAAGAAATTCAATGTGTGTAGAAAGCGTAAAAAAAAAAGGTTATTGATGTGTTCTTTTCCAATATGAATTCTCAAAATGTTTAATTATCTTCTCTTATATACTCCAGATTTAATATATCAGAATAGAGAAAAAAGATCAAGGCGAAAGTCACTGACTACATAATATGAATTATTAGTTATGAATGAGTATTCCTGATTTCCATTTTTCCGTTTTCTGACTCACAAACATTTCAGTAACTAAAAAAACGGGTAAAAGAACCTTACTGCATGTTTCTAGACTTTGATCAAAACTGTTTTTTAAATCTATTTGTAATACATTTCACAGAACCAAACTCACCGAAAGTGCCTTCATCAGAGAAAAGTGGCGTTCCGCTCTCTTCTGGTTCAGAAACGGTTGCAGACAGCTAAAGGATAAAACAAGTGCAATTAGTTGAAGTACTCCATTGACTACAGAGATAATAAAAACAACACTTTGCATTTTTAGCAAAACTTAACTACAGTAAAAACCCGCGTATAAGAACCTAGAAAATTAAGAACCTCGGGGTTTATTTAGGAAGGAACGTGGAACTGTTATTCATTTTAAGCTACTTTGCATGTGAAAATGGAAAGTTTTATTGCTCTAAGTTAAATTCAGCCGCATACAGCGCCGGTGACGCGTGGCGTGCCGTGCATTTATGTGGGCCCACTGTGTTTTAAGTTGCGCGTACAAGAGAAGGAAACTAAGTCCGAACAAAATAACGGAAGGAAACTAAGTTCGAACGGGGAAATCAAGTCAGCTAAGTCAAGTAAATAACACACAGAAGCAAGAAGAAGTAATAGTAAATTTTTATTTAGAGTAAACTAATACATTGGCGAAGTGACCAGTAGGACGTTGGCGAAGCGACTTTTCGCTTTGGTTAAGCGACCTAAGACGTTGGCGAACGTGACGTTGGCGAAATCACTCGTTGGCGAAATCACCAGATACCGTACAAAATCATAAATCCAATTTTTTCGGACACCCAAGGTAACCTGGAAATTGCTTCCAAAGCAAGAGATGTTTTGTCTCATGAGAATTCAGACACAGACAGTGACGAAGAGCAGACAGAAACAAGTCATAGCAGTTATCAGGAAGATGATGGTGAGGAAGAGTTAACCTCCGCAAGTGAGAGTGGAACCGAAGGTGTTAAAAGGAAAGTTTTAAAAAATTCATTGGACGTAAAACCATTAGGTCGTAACAAACGAGTAAGAAGTCAGTCCCAGGCCATAAATGAGATCGCAAAGAGTTTTCACGCACTTGGAGAATCACAGCAAAAGCGTTGTGAAAAGATGATGGAAGCAGACAAAGAAAGGCATGCTGAATTTCTTGCTTTTCAGAAAGAGCAAGCCGAATTGAATAGGCAGCATGAACTAAAGATGCTTCAAATCATCATGAAATATTCAAATCCTCCACCCCAAGGAGCACAGCAGCATCTCCAACAACAAACAATGCCTGTGCAGCCTCTTGTACCTTATTACAATCCAATGCCATATAGCCATACCCCTCCAACCAATCAAGTGGCAAGTGGTAGCCAAGATAGCCACATTTTAGACATGGATATGATAGCCAGAATGATCAAAGATCCATGCGTTGGTATTAGCAAGAGTTCCATTAAGGGTGGGGGACTCATGTTTATGGAGGAGTTGGTGGTGGACTTTTCTTTTCTATAGACAGGGTCCTCTATCACACTTATCTTTATTGAGCAATACTGTGAATTTAAGGGGGCATGAGCTTCCCTCTTGTGTTTTGAAACCTCAGACATGTTATTACAGGCAGTTGTGTTTACTTGTAATCCATTTATTGTCAGTTGTGATAAAGGTACCAAAATGTAACCAGTGATCCAGACACTAACATCATTACTGTTCTGTAATTGAAACGAACCATTGTTACAAAGTTTAACGGAACTACAACTTTATAACACTTCTATAGAATTGGATGTATTGGTTAGGGACTGGTCATTATTTATGTAAAGGGTGGGGGAGGGAATTTTTTTTAAGCAATAAGTTTTATTCTTGACCCACCCCTGAAAATTTTTCATTTACTTTTTGACTCACCCCTCAAATAAATGTTATTTTTTAGGCTATGACTCCCCCCCCCCCACCCCCCGCCCCAGTATGCCCTCTATGAGGATGAGGTTAACAAGAAGTTCCAACAACAAATAAACACGAAAACAGCAGCAAAAATACTTGTTATTCTTTGAAACCAAGGCTGTTTTGCTTTGGACTGTCATGAATTGGTTGGAAATACCATTGAAAGACTTGAAATGATGTAAAAACTTATGTCAAGTAGGTAAAAATACCAGTTCTAGTCTTTCATCATAATATTTCAAGCCAATAATTCATATCAGACTGTTAAGCAGTCTCAAGCTTTTAACCAACCTCGGTTTTTGAGAATGACAATTAAGTATTTCTTTTGTGCTGTTTTTGTTTAGTTGATATAAGAACTTCATGTTCATTTTTGTTGTTGTTGTTTGTCCTCCTATTCTTGCCTTAATACATGTCATTTTATACTGCCTTCAAGAATAATCCATCCCCTTTCATATAAAAAAATAAACCTGACCTCCCTCCCTATGATTTTTTCCTACTCCCCCCCTTTTTACCAGTTTATCTAGTTGTTTGGTTGCTTTAGCATAGAGTATTTTACTTCCAGATTACTTAAAATAACTTGAAATAGCAGTAATTTTTACACTAATGGATGAAAGGAAAGCAAAACTTCTGGTTCATACTTAATGTATCAACAAATATTATTTCCTATATCTATTGTGAAGGGAAAATGTTTGAAAAATATTTTGAATATCAAATTTGAATCTATTTACATGTAACAAAACCTGTTTTCCATCAAATCTGCTAAGGATCAAGTAAAGTTCAGTTTCTCAGTTTTTGCCTTTGTTATTAATTTTAATACAGAATCAAGGGGCTGCATTTCTTTCCTCTCTGATATCCCACAACCAATTGGCAACGGCTTCTCTTGTTGTATTTCCATCATCAGCTTGGGCATCTCCATTTCGAATCAGATTGAGTTCATTGACCTGAAGTCTCCACCTGGGGTTACAGGGATCACTTCGGTGGATGCAAAGATTATAGAGAGTAATGCAGGTCATGATGATGAGGGAAATGTTGTCTAAATGACATTCTGTCTTTTTGTAGAGAATTCTCCACCGCCCCTTTAACATTCCATAAGCATGTTCAGAAACTACCCTTGCAGAGCAAAGTCTCCTGTTAAAATACCTTTGCTTAGGTACCCTTGTCCCATCTTTGTATGGTTTTAGAAGCCAGGAATGGTTGGGAAAGGCTGAATCACCCACAGTGGTAAACGGAATCTCCCCATGAGGGTCAAGATTCAAAGACCTGTTAGGAAGCACGTGACCAGATTCGATGTCAGAATAAATACCACAACTTCTTAAAAGCCTAGAGTCATGTGTGGATCCTGGGGCGCCCACTGCAGCCCACATAAAACGCTTGTTATAACCAATGAATCCCATGTTTGTAACTGAATACCTCTTCTTGTAACTGTAAAAGTTCTTAAGTTTAGTGCTTACGTAAACATGAAACCCATCCCACGCTCCAACACAAGGAAACTCCCAATTTCCCAGAAAATTTTCCAGTTCTTGACTCCACTCTTGTAGATTTCTTGGCAGGTAAACGAATCTGTCATACAAACATCCCACAATGGCCTTACAAACGTCTTGGAAAATGATGTGAGCAGTTGATTCTGCAACCCCAAAGAGATCTCCAACGGTCAAAAACGTGCACCCGTGTGCTAGTCTGTATAGACATAAAGCCAACTGGGTAGCAGGCGGAGTAGGGTGAGGCTTCATGCGAGTGGGCTCCTTCACGATAAGGTCTTTAATTTCGCTTAGAATAAATTCAAAAGTGTCTCGAGACACCCTTAACCTTTTCTTGAAAGATTCTTCATCCCAGTTTTGATATCCGTCTGTCCACCAATTTCCGTTCCTCAACTCATCAGGACCACGCTCTTTTCTGTCGCTTTTTGTAATCACGATTGCTGACATAACAGCGGGCTGTGAAGCTTCAGTTTCGAACTCCATCTCCCTACGAAAACGTTTCTTTGCCATTTCTTCCTTTAACCTATATTGGTGACCTAAAAACTCTTGTTCTGCCTTTCTCTTACGGGAAAAAAATTTGAGAAGTTCAAGCGCGGCCGCCATCTTTAAATTTTACCGCCAAACAAGGCACACTAGTGCCCATTCTTTTTTTTTCGCCGCGCGGAATATCTCGTTCGTCTTTCGTAGTTCGTCTTGTTATTCGTCCCGTCTTTACACTAGACGCATACCACAAGAGACGCATTATCCGTCTGGACGGATAATGCGTCCTCTAGTATAAAAACGGCCAATCTATGAATGAAAAACACGGCATGAAGACTCCAAAACATATATATTAATTAAATTTCGAAGCTTCTGGCGAATCTTATTTGACTAGTTTAAGGATAAATTGCTTTTTTCTTTTTTACGAAATAATGCTTAGGATTTGATGGCATATAGTTCAGACGTGCTCGCGCCTTAGGCTATTTTCCTGAAAGATGACAAACAACGCTGTTTACGAAATTGAAGAAGTGACACGCCGCTGGTTTGATCAGTTGTTTATCTTTGAATAAATTCTTACTTTACCGCTAACGACCATCCACCCTACTGCCGTTAAAATGCCGCGTATGAAAGCCTTTCTAATTTGCGGTTTGTTCGGTGAGCAGGAGTGACTAAATGACTCTTAGTTCTGTCTAATGAGAATGTCGCAGCAAATGTTGTTACACTATTAAATACATAGTTCATCAAGTGGACCTCGTCGGGCAAAGGAAGGAGAGGAGGGCCTTTCACTTTTTATCATAAAAGTTAGAGGTTGTTTAAATATAGAGAGAAAGATCAAAGCTGTCAGCCGACTCCCCACCAACCCTTCCCCCAAAAGAAAATGGAGCTCAAAGGGCCAATGGGGAAACATATGTAACTGTGAATATGAAAGCGATCTTCGCAGTAATGAACATCACTTAAGCGGTAGAGAAAATAAGGCCAATACAAGCAGTATTTTTTAGAGTGTGGCCTTGAAACTTGTTTTTAAAAGTGACCATGGATAATTTTTCCTCTCTTTGTTAGCGAAATTCTTCGTTGAATCTAATTAGCTTACAGGAGAATGTGATGTCTGGTGACGCTTGTTTAACATTCGTTCTCGTTTGTTTAATTACAAGTTTAGGCCAAGAATTTCAGTTCATGCGCCTGAAAAGTTTGATGCAAGAGCCATGTGAGTGCAGGCCTCGCGACTTTTTCCTGACCGGTTGATGTTACCGTTCGGCTCTATACTCATCAGCTTTTAATATGGTTTTCCAGAGGATTGCGCGAGCGGAGCCGTACGGGGTCATAGCTTAAAATTCGCCGTTTTCAGACCTCAGCATTTTGAAACTGCAGAATGAAATTACCGCCCCTCAAGCGGGCTGACTTGTGGGATCAACGGTAGACATTATTATATTTTCAACATAGAGTTTGCAGACTGAGCCAGGGTAGTACATTACTGATTATCTTGCCTTTCTACCGTGACATGTAATCTAAACCTACGAACAAAAATTTTTGTCGTTTGTTTAGTCTTCACAGGCTGAAGGGAGATGTTTCCCAGATTTCCTCCGTTACATCATACGGTGTTCATCGCGGCCTGCTGGGTTGGTATGTCTGTGCTTGGGATCCTGTGGCATTTTGAACTCACAGGTAATGAGGTATTAGGAAAATCACCACAATGGTTACTAAGGTGAATTTCTTACATGAGTCCAAGTGTTTGCCTGGTTTATGATTGATAAGCTATTGAATCTCAAGGGTTTCGCTGTCTGAGGTAGATTAAGGTTCAGATAGGGCAACTGAGAATATCCAGAATAACCACTTTAAAATTTAAGAGTGTGATTTTACTCTGTAATGGATAAAAGTAGGTGAAACTCAAATTTTTGCGGTATAGTCTCCTTATTACGAAGGTCCTTAGCTTTGATGTCACGTCCGTCCCTTCATTCTACAATAAACCGGCATGGAAAGAATAAAAGACTCGCACTAATGTCTGCATAAAACTGTACTCGTTTTATACAATTGTCCATACGTATCTGCGACAAAACCATCAGAAATATGCGATTGACACCTGAAAACCTCGAATTATTTAAAATTTGCTCCCAGTCTAATATGCTGGTTCATATAACTAAGAATTTGAATTATGACATAAAAATTAGGACATAAAAATTGCACCATAAGGCATGATTCACCTAATGCGATGTTTTGGATCAGAGATTCTCTTTTGAAATTTTCTTTCAGGTAAAACTGGCAGTGACAGAAGTGACACATATCTACGCTCCATCCAGAAAAGGGCCTCAGAACACACATCTCAGGAGCAAAACAATGTCAACAACGATGGATCAATGAAGTTGACAGGTAAACCAAATAAGACAATAAGTACTAATTGACATAGAAAATCCATTAGTTTACAAACAGAAACTCATCGATTGGCGCTGCTGAGCATATCGAGGGCTTCTAACGAAGTCTGTTAGTGTCAACCCGGCCTGCCTTTCTCCGGAGGCCGGTAGAGGCGGTCATTTCTCGTCCCAGACCCCTGGTTGCGGGAGAAGCCCACGAGATTCTTTAGAGGCAGTGCTCGCGGGCTCGCGGGCTTAAGACACAATTACACTTGGGAGTTTTGTTTAGGGTCATATACCATCCCTCAATAAAGGCTGATAAAGGAAAAGTTACTGATGTGAAATTCCCTTCACCCTTTACTATGTTTTATTTCAACTTTTTTACTCAAACAGATTCCTTCGAAATTTGTTCTTGACTGTTGCATTGTTCAAATGAATTGCCTTGTCATTTCTTTTGCAAGTGGACTTCATAGAGTCATTAAGGTTATATTGAAAATGTAAGATAGCACTAAGGTAGACGGATAATCTTTTCGTTAACCCAGAGGTTTTTTTTATCTCACCTTGTAAACTGGTCCACAGTTCTATTTATCCAGTTCCAGGCGTTTACTTTTTCCGCTCTGTCTGACAACTGAGCGGCTAGAACAGGTTAGGTTTTTGGGTGACTTCTCAATGTTTGAAATGATTCTGTCTTTACATCTCTTACAGAGGAAGTAACAAGCAAAAACGAAATGTATGATCGAGTGAACACGCTGTTGCTATTTGTTGGTTACTCTCGCAGTAGACACAGCTTAGTTTCTTCATTACTTGACGCTCACCCTCACATGATAGTTGCAGATGAATCGTATGCACTGAGAAAATGGGTTCAGCAACCAGCATGGAAAACGGAAAATCAAGATATGAATTCTTCGATACAATGTTGGGAAAACTCAAAGTGGTCTGTAAAAAGAGGTCGAAGGTCTCGCGTAGCAAACGGAAGCGCAGTAAATTTTCAACTCTACGGCTACCGTATTCCAGATCAGTGGCAGGAACATATGATCGATACATACAGGTGAAATATAAAACTTAAAATATCAATTTCACGGGCTGTAAATCGATGTAAATGTTGAACAGCTCAATCAAATTATATTCCAACAAATCTTCTCGAATCATAACCATTTTGGTCATGTTCCAGGCATAAACCTTGGGGCTTTAGCGATCATATCTGAAAAGATATTGAAGGCTGAAATAATTTGTCATTCAAAATGCCTCATTTGCAAAGTACGTTTGAATCGTTTTTCATAAATCCTGTAAGCATTTTCTTTAACTAGGAAATCACAATTAAGAATGTGCAAGGGTTCAGTCTAACCGTCGCCTCACACTAATGACCAGTCCGTTATCTTACTTTGTTTTGTAAATGAACTGCAGGTGA